TGCGTTCTTAAGTGGACACTGATAATTGATATAATACCACAAATTGACATACCAATACCATACAATATATAAGGTTTAACCTTGAAGAAATGTCCTCCAACTCCAAAAACTATTCTGCCAACTATCTGGTTATACCCATTACTGCAGTTATACTGGCACTTTTAAAGCTAGGAATTCCAATATCCCTGGCACGGTTTACCTGCACAGATATAAATAAATTCAGTTATGAGATAGTTAGATTTACTTTTAAATTTATAGAATTCAGCATAACAAGTATATATAACAAGTGTCCAGTTTGCAAAATTATTTTAATTTTTTGGCGTCTTAGTAAAACACAAACAGTTGCTATTGAAAAAAAATATCAGATACTGATACACAGCATGTTAAATTACAGTTTCCGCCTGATACCATGACATCGATCAATAAACCGAATTCAGTGCCTGATATAGTCATGGATTTCATTTAGTAATTCGTTAGATGTCTTCTTTTCAAAACGTTTTCATCTCGGTCTTTTTAAAAATGTACAGTACAATACAATACAACGATTGTAACATTATAGAGTGTCTATGAGCCTAATGAGTATTCGCACATATTTACCATGTGAACTATAACAGCATTTTGTGATAATGCATGACCAAATGTAGACAACGCCATTATCAGATACACTGTATTTTTGAAAAGCGATATGTCACACATCAACTTAAACACTGTCTGATACTTTTCCAATCCAGTGAAGCAGCAAGTTTGCTTACTGGTCTCTCTTGACGCCACTGCATGATGTGTCACGTTGTCCACTGTCGTATTGAGTTCAGCATCGGTACAAATTCCATCTGATATTTCGACACGCGTTTTTCTGAATCCGTGATAATAATCTATAGGTCTAAACAGTGCTCCAACTAAACAGAAATGTAAAGAAATTCCCCCTAGGATTATCATCGACCCTCGCCAACCATAGTTGTCGAGAAGGACCTGTGTTAGAACAGGGAATATACACTGTCCTGCCCCAAATCCTGACATAGCTATTCCAACTGCTATTTGCATTTTTTCGCAGAAGTATTTATCAATCATAGCAATTGCAGGAAATGCTGCTATCCAATATACGGAGCCTATAATAAGAAAGATTTATATGATTAATTAGGTGCGTGTGTCAGTGTGACCACAGTTTCAGAGGCCATTCTGTGAATTTGATTAAGTAATGACAGTATATGTATGTGAAGTATTTTATATTATAATACTTACTTATAAATACTCCATACACAAAATATATTTGTCCTAGAGAAGTCGTAAATGAACAGGCTACAAAACCTATTGAA